GCTAAGGACACGGTGACCAGCTTCCCAGCCCACTCTTTAACAACTAGCTATTCTTCACACACAATTCAGTAAATTTTGGACTGATTTAAAATCGAATTGTTCTGAAAACATGGAATTCATTACAAAATTAATAAACAAAACTAAATTAATTTTAATTAAATTCATTACTATTGTTATTAGGGAATTAGAAAACATCTGAATTTCCGAATAATCAAAAAAATTAGTCAGAATTTACATTCAGACAGAAACGAATTGCACATGTATAGTATATATTCTGAGAGTGTCTGGTGCAGATGTCACATCTGGTGTGCAGTATGGAGCAACAGGAAGGTGAGCTGGGTTTGGACTGGAATGGGGCAACTAGCAGACAGCAGACGTGTTTTGCAACATGGGAGTGCTGTAGCGGAAGCAGAGCAGGGACTGGAGAGAGAGAGAGGACTGAGCGGCAGAGGATCATCAGAGCTGGGGGACTGAAGCAGGAGAAACTGGCAGATGTCACATGTGGTGCACAGAATGGAAGCAATATAGTGGGAGGTGAGCAGGGACCGGAGAGAGAGGAGGATCAGCAAACCAGAGGATTAGCAGAACTGGGGGTTACTGCTGAGTGAGGGATTACCAGAGCTGGATGTATAACTGAGCAGGGGATCTGCTGAACAAGGGTACTAATGCACTGGGGATCTGCTGAACAGGGGTACTACTAAGCTGGGGTTCTGCTGGACACCTTTGAAACAAAGAGAAAGTCAACAACACACGGGGCATATACCAAGCTTCATTAAAGCTTCAAAAAAGCATCACGGAAGTATCGAAAACACATCAAAAAAGCATGTTGAAGCGGTAGGCACTTTTAATGCGTGTTAAAGTGGAAGCAAGGGTAAACAAGCTCTAAAAAAACTGTACACAGGGGAAAAAAATGTGTGTAAAAAAAGAAGTATGTACAGTCATAACTTCTTGTTTGTGGTTTTTAAAGTAGTAGGAAGAAGTTGAAACCCATGTCCTGCTTATAGTTCATCCCTTACATACATTTTAAGAACCATGGTAATAAAGGACCCTCGTTAAAGTGAGATACAGTAGACTGCAAACTTTTGTGCCCTGGCTATTGAATGGCACACTCTCTACCAGCAGTTAGAAAACAGGTGTAACATGTATAAAAGTTCTGGAGCTTACCAGGTCTTCGCCAGGGCCACTAATGGTGGATGGACTTATTCGGCTGGCAACTCTACACAGCGAGAGGGAGAGAGAGGTTGGCGAGAAGCACACACAAGGTTTGTTCAGGGAGTAGCCAGATAGAAGCCAGAGGTCAAAAAACCAAGGAGACAAAACAGAGAAAGGTACCAAGGAGCAAGAGTAAGAATTGTTGAGATGGGAAGCCAGGGATAACCAGAGTCAAACATCTAAGTTAAAGGGGTGAGCACAGATACTGTATATCTATTAACCAAGCCAAGTCTGGGCAGGAGGCATTCTGATGGGGTCAGATCACACAGGTGGTCAAATCCAAGAGGTCTAGACCACAGACTAGAGCTAATTTTAATAAATCAGATTAGAACGAGACAACACTGGGTGGGAAAATGTATTCTTGTTACCCTAAGGATAGAAACGTCCCATGTCTATAAATAAGCGCAATACATATAGACAGAAAAAAACATTAGACCACAGTCCATGGACTTTATAGGCACCACACAAAATGTAAAAAAAATACATACAATCCTGATTGATGCACAATTAAAAGAGATTAAAACTCCCTTATGTTGGTTAGGGTAGTGGCCCCACACTATTGAAAGAGTTCACAACATCCTAATTAAAGGTGCATAAATATGATCCTATGATTAACCAATAATGGGGGATATCACCATGCATTCACATAAAGCTCGACATGTTTTGCGTTGTTCTGCTTCTTTAGGAGCAGAAGGTGCACAGATCAAACTGCTACAAACAGCATTAGCGAAAGGGAATACCCCAATGGTGGTTTGCTAGAAGAACCAACGCGTATCCCCAAGATGTTCCACAAAGCATCAAAAATAAAGCAAGAAAAAAATACCAAAAGTTGCATCCTGGACACCATCTTGTGAGAAGTCCTACCACATCTTGAAGGAAGCACTGGACAGTGCTCATGTGCTACAAGCTTTGTTGCTGGTGCAAACTGATGCTTCTGCCTATGGCTTAGATGCAGTCTTGAGCTAAGGGAGTCAGTCAGGAGAGGAACGTCATATCCTCTACCTGAGAAGAAAACTACTCCCAGGGGGGTATCATATGTCACCATTGAAAAGAGAACCTTGCAATCGTATGGATGCTGCAGAAGCCGCAACATTAACTGTATGGCCTCATCTTCAAAGTGATCACTGACCACAAACCACTCTTGTCAAACTGTGCTGCTAGGGATTACAGCAAGTTCCTCCATTGGAGCTTGATTCTCCAGCAACATGATTTCACCATCCAGCAAAAAAAGAAGTGCCAACAGCAACACAAAATGATTGTTCCAGCAAACAAAGACAGCACATTTTGGTCGCATTGAAAAAGAAAGGTGTGACAACAGAGACCTGACAAACCCAAAAGGAGCAGTACCACACACCTTGCCACCCTAATTTTTCCCAGAATTTGCAAGACAGTAACAAACACAGTCAGATTTAAATCTCACATTTCTGACAGGTATTCTTGAAAGGTGACACATTTGATGAACACAGAGCAATTTTACCAAAAGCACAGATACATAAATCTCCATTAACTAGAGACTGTACGAAGCCATGTTGTAACTCATGCTGACATAGATAGTCATAAACAATCAAGATTGCAATAAACATCTGTGAGTTTGGTTTCCAATTTGAAACTGAAATTTCACAATCTTCAAATTCTTTCAAACTCTTTCCAATTCTCAACTCTAATTTATATTCTATAACTCTTACTGTATTGGAGTTGCCTTCATAAAAAGTGGTTACATTAATGTGTCAAAAGGTACCAATCAATTAGACACCAGACACCTAATTTGAAATGTCTATAATAATAATAATAATTATAATAATAATACTATTATTAATAAGACACAATAAACCTCCTAAGAGAATTATAAGAATCATAATTTCATTCTGCTAAATAAGATGTTGGTTGTCACATTGTGAAACCTTGCCATATGGAAATAAAGATGTACCCAGGATAGTTGGCATTAATGGTGTATCCGTTATGCATTACAAAATACTCCAGCACACATTCAACATAGAAGTCCTTTGATTGGGTAGAATTTAGTTGTGTGACACCCCCTTGAGGGTCAAGAAGATGTTTTGTTGCATCATTTTTACCATTGAAACTGCCATTAAGGATACAAAGAGTAATGTTAAGAGGGTCAGTGTCTCTTGCTCAACAGATTAAAATTACTTTGCAAGTGAGTATACAGTAAAGGGTTAAGTAATCAGTTAAAGTGATTCTAAAAGCTCAAGGTTTTTTACCTTCATAGCTCTATATATATCCTTGTGGTACGTTATTACATGCCTAATGAAGGGGTCTGTCAGGAATGGACTGGCCAGCAATGGTGGGACTCACCTGCCTTATGGGCTGCAGTACCAGGGCTGGCCAGCGGGTGCTCCCAGCAATCAGAGACTCAACCTTGCAGCCAGCCAAACACCTGAAACTGCTTATACTGGTGTATTTAAGGATGACCAGACCTGCAGACTCTGCCTTGGTGTGTGTTTCTCCTGGGCCCTGTATCCTGTTCCTGCTCCCTGTTCCTGCTCCCTGTTCCTGTTCCTGTCTGATTCGTTGCTGACCCTGCTCTGATCCCTGGCTTTGTCTGACCATTCTCCTGCTCCTGATCCCTGGCTTTGTCTGACCATTCTCCTGCTCCTGCTCCTGATCCCTGGCTTTGTCTGACCATTCTCCTGCTCCTGATCCCTGGCTTTGTCTGACCATTCTCCTGCTCCTGATCCCTGGCTTTGTCTGACCATTCTCCTGCTTAACCCCATACGTTCTGACCTCCTGTTGATAATCCCGGCCTGCCTGACGACGCTTGCATTGTATGTACTGTTATCTGTGGGTGGTTTGGTTCGTTTGCACTGTGTTATGTTTTAGTATTGCACTGCGTTTATGTATTGTTAGTGTTAATAAATTATATTTATAACATATCTGAAGCCTGCGTTTCCCTGCGTCAGTCACATACCTCTGGTCACACCCGGGAGCCCTGACATTACACCAAGGCCAATCCTGACCAGAAGTGGCTGCACAGGGAAGCCATCTTGGTTTGTTGATGGGAAGGATGGATCTTGATGAGGTTGTGTATTTATATCTGCTAGTGTTTGATGACAGGGAGTATGCTTATCAAACTCTGAAGGAGTATACCCGGGATGAACTGCTAGAATGTATACGGCTCGCTCATGTTCTAGTAGATCAGGGCACAGAATTCTCTGAGGTGCAGCCATTGATTCAGGTTTGTGCGGAGTTGGTTTCATCTGGTACCCCCGAATGCAGGGATGAATTTTTGCCGCCATTTAGTGCCGACCAGGTAGAGTCCCTGGTGTGGTTATTAGAGGATGATGTGGATTGCTTCTTGGAGCATTATGCTGCATGTTCACCACAGGTACTAAGAGATTGTATAAACGCAGTGCAGTCTTTGGTCAGACAGGCTTTGTGTAAGCTCAGCTTTGTTCAACCCATACTGCAGACATGGACAGATTTGTTGCACCCAGCCTCAGTCAGCCTACAAAAACCCAGTCCTGCTTCTAATCTATTTCCTCAAAGCTCTATTCCTGCATTCCCAACAGCTCCTCCTGCCCTGCTATCTACCGCATGTCAGTACCCTGTTCCCACTCGCTGCACCTATCATGCCTTTAACCCTGTAAAAAAGCCCTCTGTAGCAACTGTTCACTCCCCTGTTCCATCCTCCAGCTCTTCTCTCTCTCCAGCTGCTCCATTCGTTTGCAGACCTGCGTTTACTTGCAGTGCTCCAGTAGTTAAAACCAGAAAAAAGCAAAAATTCTTTCCAACCAATACCATCCTGCCAGTATCCAAACCGGTGAGTCTGCCGTCTGAGAACCTGCCTTCAGTGGTTCAGCCTGGTGCCTCGGCACCCACACTTCAGCCTGAGGTCTGTACCCAGCCGGATGCCTGTACCCAGCCTGATGCCTCTATTCAGCCTGATGCCTCTCTTCAGCCTGATGCCTCTCTTCAGCCTGATGCCTCTCTTCAGCCTGATGCCTCTACTCAGCCTGATGCCTCTACTCAGCCTGATGCCTCTACTCAGCCTGATGCCTCCACTCAGCCTGATGCCTCCACTCAGCCTGATGCCTCTACCCAACATGATGAACTGATCCAGCCTGATGATCCTATTAGGCCAGTTGACTCGATGCCCGCTGTTGATCCAGATGATCCGGTACCTGATCCGGTGCCCGCTGTCGAGCCAGACGATCCAATGCCTGGTGACCCGGTGCCCACTGTCGTGCCAATTGACTCAGAGCCCACTGTCGTGCCTGGTGACTTTTTGCCCGCTGTCTTGCCAGATGACGCGGTGCCCGCTGTTGAGCCAAATGACCTGATGCCTGGTGACCCGATGCCCGCTGTCCAGCCAGACGATCCATTGTCTGACCCAGTGCCAGCGGTCATGCCAGTTGACTCGGAGCCCACTGTCGTGCCTGGTGACCCGGTGCCTGTCGCTCCGCCTGGGGGTCCGGCGCCCGCCCGCTCCGCCTGGGGGCCCGAGACCTGTCGCTCCGCCTGGGGGTCCGAGACCTGTCGCTTCGCCTGGGGGTCCGGCGCCCGCCGCTCCGTCTGGGGGCCCGAGACCTGTCGTTCCGCCTGGGGGTCCGGCGCCTGCCGCTCCGCTTGGGGGCCCGAGACCTGTCGCTCCGCCTGGGGGTCCCGGCGCCCGCCGCTCCGCCTGGGGGCCCGAGACCTGTCGCTCCGCCTGGGGGTCCGAGACCTGTCGCTTCGCCTGGGGGTCCGGCGCCTGCCGCTCCGCCTGGGGGCCCAAGAGACCTGTCGCTCCGCCTGGAAGTCCGGCGCCCGCCGCTTCGCCTGGGGGCCCGATGCCTGTCGCCCTGCCTGGGGGCCCGATGCCTGTCGCCCCGCCTGGGGGCCCGATGCCTGTCGCCCCTCCTGGGGGCCCGGCGCCCTCCGCTCCGCCTGGGGGCCCGATGCCTGTCGCCCCGTCTGGGGGCCCGATGCCTGTCGCCCCGCCTGGGGGCCCGATGCCTGTCGCCCCCGCCTGGGGGCCCGATGCCTGTCGCCCCGCCTGGGGGCCCGATGCCTGTCGCCCCGCCTGGCGGCCCGGTGCCTGTCGCTCCGCCTGGGGGCCCGGTGCCTGCCGCCCCGCCTGGGGGCCCGGTGCCTGCCACTCCGCCTGGGGGCCCGGTGCCTGCCGCTCCGCCTGGGGGCCCGGTGCCTGCCGCTCCGCCTGGGGGCCCGCTGCCTGCTGCTTCGCCTGGTGATCCGATGTGCCTCTGCCCGGGGTCCAGCCCGATGTGCCTCTGCCCGGAGTCCAGCCCGATGTGCCTCTGCCCGGAGTCCAGCCCGATGTGCCTCTGCCCAAAGTCCAGCCCGATGTGCCTCTGCCCGGAGTCCAGCCCGATGTGCCTCTGCCCGGAGTCCTGCCCGATGTGCCTCTGCCCGGAGTCCAGCCCGATGTGCCTCTGCCCGGAGTCCAGCCCGATGTGCCTCTGCCCGGAGTCCTGCCCGATGTGCCTCTGCCCGGAGTCCAGCCCGATGTGCCTCTGCCTGGAGTCCTGCCCGATGTGCCTCTGCCCGGAGTCCTGCCCGATGTGCCTCTGCCCGGAGTCCTGCCCGATGTGCCTCTGCTCGGAGTCCTGCCCGGTGTGCCAGTCTTTGATATCCCGCCAGTTACCAGACCCGGGCGGTGGAACATTTTGCTCAGCTAGGACTGTTTGGAGCGTCCTGAGGCCGCTCCTTGAGGGGGGGGTACTGTCAGGAATGGACTGGCCAGCAATGGTGGGACTCACCTGCCTTATGAGCTGCAGTACCAGGGCTGGCCAGCGGGTGCTCCCAGCAATCAGAGACTCAACCTTGCAGCCAGCCAAACACCTGAAACTGCTTATGCTGGTGTATTTAAGGGATGACTCTGCCAGACCTGCTGACTCTGCCTTGGTGTGTGTTTCTTGCTGGACCCCTGTATCCTGTTCCTGCTCCCTGTTCCTGTTCCTGTCTGATTCGTTGCTGACCCTGCTCTGATCCCTGGCTTTGTCTGACCATTCTCCTGCTCCTGATCCCTGGCTTTGTCTGACCATTCTCCTGCTCCTGATCCCTGGCTTTGTCTGACCATTTTCCCGCTCCTGATCCCTGACTTTGTCTGACCATTCTCCTGCTCCTGATCCCTGGCTTTGTCTGACCATTCTCCTGCTTAACCCCATACGTTCTGACCTCCTGTTGATAATCCCGGCCTGCCTGACGACGCTTGCATTGTATGTACTGCTATCTGTGGGTGGTTTGGTTCGTTTGCACTGTGTATGTTTTAGTATTGCACTGCGTTTATGTATTGTTAGTGTTAATAAATTATATTTATAACATATCTGAAGCCTGCATTTCCCTGCGTCAGTCACATACCTCTGGTCACACCCGGGAGCCCTGACAGGGTCCTGCACTGCTCCGAAATGTTGCACCTTTCTTTTTGAGGTATGATCATTCTTCAATAAAAATAGCCTTTTCGGGTGACATTTGTGATGTGCTGGCAAATATGAACGTCCATCTGTGTGTGAATGGACATGCAGTGCAGCAGCTCAGGAGCGAGCATGTTTGGCTAGTCCCATTGCAAGCTGCTTTCTGAGGGGGAACTTTGCAGGAGGGAGGGGCCAGGAGTGCTGGCGGGAGGTTCAGGGCTGCTCTGTGCAAAACCACTGCGCATAGCAGGTGAGTATGACATGTTTGTTATTTTTTCTTAATTCCTTTAATATCCCTTTAACCTGCCCAAGTGATGATCACTGTTAGTCTGCTGATGCCTAGATTATTGTCCCATGAGCTTGAAAATGTATGTACAGGACGAGTCTGAGAGCATAATCATCACACCTTCAATTTACGTTGGTATTCATAGATACGGGCTTCCCCACTGTTTTACATTTAACTACTGGGTTCCAGAATATAGTTCAGGCATCAAGCGACAATTGTGCTTTGCAACTAAAATGTATAAAGGAACAAATAGCGTATGTAAAATGAACATTTACTTGCTATATATAAAATATATGTTGTATTTTTTTATGACTTAATATTTGTCTCTTTCACCTCTCTCAGTGGTTGGTTGATAAGAAAAACACAGGATGTCTGTACTCTACCATTATGAGCTAAAACCATATCATGCAGAGGTATAATGAGAATTTAGAGAACAAATACAATAGGCATGGTCTTTTAACTCTAATAAAAGCACTGCATGTTTTGGTTTTCATTTTTCTCATAATATGGAAAATGTGTTAAAGTTAAAAAAAAAAAATCAATTCAAATATATGTCCCATACCTATTTTTTAGGTTGTCACCTTTAAAATAAAATTGTTTTCTGACACGGTTGACTTGTTAATGCAGTACTGGCAACAAGCCCCTTTTCAAACTTGATGATCTATCCATCTGGAATGTCAATTAATTTATTTTTCCTCTTCAGGCTCAGTAGATTGATTTAATAATCTTTTATACACTTCGTATAAAGGATATTAACTTACTGTTTAAACCTAGTGTAGTACTCACCCCAGAAAGAGCTATTTCATGGGCTTTCCTGCCTTTCCTAATTCCAATACTGATGGAGAATTTCCAATTCTCCATCAGTAACAGATGTAAGCTCCTGGAATGTTTATTGGCTTTATTGTCTTGAGGAGAGAGTTATAGGTACAGAAAACCACCCATCCCCCCCTAAAAAAACAAAAACCAAGCAGTAAATGTCTTACTGTACAACAGGCTTCTCCAAGAATTCTTTAGACACAGATGGGCATTTATCTTTCAGTTTCTTGGGCTTCTGCTACATGCCAATTATTGATTATGTAGGCTCAGATGGACAGCTACTTTTCTGTTTCCTTGACCTTTGCCATATGCTAGCTTTAGATTTTGATGGCCCAGGCAGGAAGCTACCATTCCTGTTTATTAGGCCTTTCCACAGGCCAACGTTGGATTCTGTAGGCCCAGATGTTAAACTACCTTCCTGTGACTTAGGCCTTTGCCATAGGCCATCTTTGGATTCTGTAGACCCAGACAGTCAGCTACCAAACAAATCTATTCTTCTTTCTAGCATCCTTCCCAAAAAAACTGCTTGGGAGGTAAAAGGCTGGACCTTCTATACAAACATCCTCTCCTGGCAAAGACCTGGAAGGAAAGGACCTCTCAAAGCTACAGCACATGCTCTCCAGACAAGGACCTTGGATGGAAGGACCATTCTTGATGGATTCCCCAAATATTTATCTTCCTTCTTATTCCAAATTACTAGAATAACACCCCCCCAGGCATTAGCTAAGGCAGATAAACATATTGATGTAGCACCCTCCAAGTATACAAAGCTAGGAACATTTCATTTTTGGCTTGCGCTGTAGCAGTATTAATTTGCCTTGGTCTGCTTATGGTTTCACAGGTTGGGAGTTTGATTGTTTGCCCCTGCCTTTGGAAGAAGCTTCCAGAGCTTGGGGCGGGAAATTCAAATGACTGGCCTGAATATTTATTATGCCCTGGCCAATCCCTGGGGGAGGTCAGCCCAAAAGGTGGTCTGGGAGGTGGTAAATTGCTTGAGACCTTAATGAGATGGTCTTTTCCCCACCAGGTATGGATCTGTGAGCTTCAACAGACTTCTTGCCCCTGAAACACTGGAGGACTGAATTATAGACTTCTCTATCAAGGGATTGAGTCTGAGGATGTAGTTTCTCTAGGACTTGTGAGTAGAGGTCCTGACCGACTCCCTACTACAGCATAATCTGAGAGACCTTCCTCATGGTCCCCTGCTATGAGACTAACTATTCTGGAGTTACCTCATGGTCCCCAGGTATGAGAAGTTAGACTGTTCGGTAAGCTTCCTTATGGTCCCCAGCTGTGAGAGCTAGACTGTGTTACCTTTACTAAGAAATGAGTGCCCTTAGACAACTGGTCTATGCATTTTGGAGTATCCCAGGCCTCTTATCCCTCTCCTGTTAAAGTTCTGCAAGCAGTAAATCTTAAAAAGAAATCCCCTAGACTGTTTAATGGATCCAGACTTGATGAACTGTTATTTGTGTGACTGGCAGCCACTGTACTACATAAGGGTGATCCATATAATTGTCAGAAGCTCCTTTCGGGGGGTTTATAACCCAATACATTGTATATTCTCACTCTAACTACCTGAAAACACTCAACAACAGCAGGCAAAGGCATTCAATGCTCTGGGCTTAAGAGAAATCCTCTCCCTGCACCCACTGTCACATTTCAAAACAGCATGGGGCTCTGCCCGCACAGCCACATCATTAATTCACAGGAATCTGTAAATGAGAAAACTGCAAGTCCCTTTTTCCACTGCGGCACACACCTTGTAGTTCTCAATCAACTACCAGGGCACTGATCAGCAAGCTTGTGCTGTAGTTCACTGACAGATCCTACGTCTAAGTGACTATCTGCTTGAATGGAGATACAGGCAGAGAGCTCTTAGCAGTGTCTGTAGGAGCCTGACATTGCACCCATGATCCACTGATCACGAATGCAAAAATCTGCAGTCTGAAGTGTAAAAAGATAATAAATGTAATTTTTTTTTACATGGAAATGGAAATTTATCATTTTTCTTTGCAAAATGTCAAGTTTTGTTTTAAAATTTACTGGCCTCCTACTGAAAATGGCCTGAATACATTGTCTATATTTGTGGTGCAAAGGTCCCCAAACGTTTTAAACAAATAATCAATTCACTGACCGTCACACTCTTTGGAGGCC